TATGTCTGCGCATGTACAGGAAGACACAGAGAGAGATGTCATCATTACTTTGTTGTTACTATGTCATTACCTCCGCCAAAGAGGTTATGTTTTCGCCCCTGTTAGTTTGTTTGTTGGTTTGTTTGTTAGTTTGTTTATTTGTTGGTTTGTTTGTCTGTCAACAGGATATCTCAAAAAGTTACAGATGGATTTTCATGAAATTATTTGGACGGGTTGGTCTTGGGCCAAGAATCAATCGATTAGATTTTTGTGTTTTTGTTTGTTTGTTTCTTTGTGGGGAAGACTTCAGACGCATTCAAAATTCATAAAAAAACAAAAATCCTGGATCTTTTTTTATCAAATTTCTGAAAATTTCATCAATATTGGGGGACTGTTATGCTGTGGCGAAGGTTTGCTATCTCCGATTGCTCTTGTTACATATGTTGTTACTAATGGCATACTACGTGCACCTCATAGCATTTACACTCAATAGACCTATCTGCCTGGCACGACTGATAGATAGCTCTACACAATCTACAAAGATTGCGAAAAAAGCATTCTAAAAACCTTTGTTGTCAGAAACAATCGTTCTCAACATTAATCTTCACATTCAATTCTTCCCTGTAGACCGTCAACAGAAACACGTTAAAGTTTCTCATGTGCAGCGTATGGAGGTCTGGTCTACGAGGCCACGCAGCTGCTTTCACAGTAAATACTACAGCGGTGGGTTAGTCTACTGGTAGCACTGTGAGTTAACAAGTTTCTTTGTCTCTCTGTGCAAGATGTGGCTACCCTGTGAGCCAGTTATTAAAGTTTTTTCAGTTTAATACACAAGTTTGGATTCCTTCTTCATCATTTTCCAACATCCCTTCAACGTTACATTTTGGTACACTCTTTTATTTCCTTTATTTCTTTTATTTTGGTTATTTCTTGCCACACACTTTGCTGAGTGCTAAGCAGAGAAGCAGTGTGTACCATTTTTCAAGTGTTTGGTATCACCCGGCCGGGAGTAGAACCCCCCCGACCTTCCACATGCGAGGCGAGCACAGAAAAAGATAACTAATTAAGACTAATATTGAGACTAATTTTGTTTCTGACAATGGGCCCCACGAACGTCTGCCGGAATTTCGATGCGTGGTTCGGCGAGGTGCGAGCGCGGGAGCACTTACTGCCACAGGCACTTGGAGCATTTCAATAAAATATAATGCTAAATAAGGCTCACCTATCCATGAGTTTCTTGTATAGCACCAGCGGAAAGTGAAGGTCGACAATCTGGAAGTTGTAGATGGCTAGTCCGCACAGCATGCCGATCAGCGCAAACATTCCCTCCTCCTCGAACGTCTGCGTGAGACAAGCACAGACAGCAAATTATACACGCAGTACAGGGTGCGAAATTAACGCCAGAGTCAAATACTCCCTGATTTACTGTCGGACTCCCTGATTTGACTTATGCAGGAGTCCGTGTGACTCCCTGAAAATTCTGCCATACTAACTAGTTCGTTCCAGAGCAGGGCCTTGCGGAATTACTGTATTTTTTCAGCAAATCTTTAATTTTGAACTTCAGACTACGGACTCCGTCATTTTGCTGTGGACTCCCTCTTTTTGATGGCAGGTGGACTCCTCGACTCCTTGTTCACTCTGCGGATTTCCTTGTTCAAAACTTAATTTCTACCACTGCGTCGGGTGCGAAATTAACGGAGTCCGGAGTCAAATACTCCCTGATTTACTGCCGGACTCCATGATTTGACATATGCAGGAGTCCGTGTGACTCCCTGATAATTATGCCGTTCTAACTAGTTCGTTCCAGAGCACGGCCTTGTGGAATTACCGTATTTTTTCAGCTAATGTCCAAAGAAAATTTGGCAGATGTGCAACCGCATGAATCTTAAAAATGCGTTATTGTTAATATCTTTAATTTTGAACCTCAGACTGCGGACTCCCTCATTTTGCTGCGGACTCCCTCTTTTTGATGGCAGGTGGACTCCTCGACTCCTTGTTCACTCAGCGGACTTCCTTGTTCAAAACTTAATTTCTACCCCTGCCAGGGTGCGAAATTAACGGAGTCCGAAGTCAAATACTCCCTGATTTAC